ATAGGCTATTTTCCAGGCCTGGATTCATCTAGAAGGAAAGAGGAAACAAGACCCTGTCCAGATGCCGGTGTGCTCAGGTTGTGAGACCCTTTTTGACTTGGACCAAACCGAGTCAATTTCCAGGTGGTGCTCCCTCACTGGCATCCCTTTTGCAGCCCCTACTCCCCAGCCCTGGGCCCAGCCAGGACCCAAGCACCATGGTGACTCTGGCCGTGGGGGAGCAGGCTGCGGCTCCAGACCAGAGAATCGGGCCTTTGTTCAGGAAGTCCCGGCCACTGCCCCGACCTGTCCCCTCTACGTTGGCTGCTAGAGGCCACTGAGAGGCAGGACAAAAAAATCAATGCAGAAGAGTCTTTAAAAGGAAAAGCACTTTTTTTTTTTTGGTCTTTTTTCATTAGGGTTGAATGGGCAGCTTGTTTGATGTCGATGGGTTTTGTGTTGCCAGCCCTGAAATGAGATCTGGGCCTCCTTCCCCCACACAGACGGGAGATGCTGGGCCTGCCTGGGCCAGGGAGTCAGTAATGGCCTCAGCGGCATCTGAGGTCTCTTTTTCATTTGAGTGCACTGTATATTATATGCCCTTTCGCCCCCATCGGGGTGTCTCTAGACCCTAGTACTTGAATGAGGTCACAGCCGAGTCCTCAGGCTTGGAACTTAAAACACCCAAGAAATATTTGGAAGGGAATCGTTTTTTAAAAATAAAAATGTCTGTAAATTACTTGAAAACAGAATGCTACTTAGGAAATGTCCCCAGAAGCAATAAGAGGTATCAGTGTCCCCCTGGATCTGGACACTGAAAACTTTGTTGAATAGCACTAACTTATTTTGAAATAATTCTAGATTCACAGGGAGTTGCAAATACAATACAGAGAGGTCCCCTGTACCCTTCACCCAGCTTCCCCCAATGGTTACATGTTACGTAACAACAGTACAAATCAAAACCAGGAAATTGGCATTGGTACAGCTTTTTATGTGGGCATAAATTTTCATTTCTCTGGGATATATGCCCCTGAGTGCAATAGTTGGGTCACGTGGTAGTTGCATGTTTAATTTGCTTGTTTAATTTTATTGTGATAAAATATATATACGAAAATTTGTCATGTTAACCATTTTTAAGCGTACAGTTCAGTGACATTAATTACATTCACCATGTTGTGCAACCATCACCACAACCTGTTTCCAAAGGTTTTCATCACCCCAAACAGAAACTCAGTACCCCTTAAGCAGTAACTCCTCATTCCCTTTCACCCACCCCTGGTAACCACTAATAAACTTTGGTCTCTATGCATTTGACTATTCTAGAGATTTCATATAAGTGGGATCATACAATATTTGTCCTTTGGTGTCTGACTTATTTCATTTAGCATAATGTTTTTAAGGTTCATCCACACTGTATCATGTATCAGAACTTCATTTCTCTTTATGGCCGAATAATATTTCATTGTATGGATATACCACGTTTTGTTTATCCACTCATCTGTTGATGGGCACTTGGATTGTTTCCACCTTTTGTCTATTGTCAATAGTGCTGCAGTGAACATTGGTGGACATGTATCTGCTTGAGTCCTTGCTTTCAAGTCTGTTGGATATAAACCTAGGCATGGAATTGTTGGCTCATTGCATGTTTAATCTTATAAGAAACTACCAAACTAATTTCCAGAGTGACTGTAACATTTTACATTCCCACCAGCAATGTATGACTGATCCAATTTCTCTGCATCCTCACTAGCGTTTGGTGTTGTCGTTATTTTTTACTTTAGCCATTCTGATATGTACGTAGTAATAGCTCATTGTAGTCTAATTTGCACTTTCCTAATGTCTAATGATGTTGAACATATTTTCATGTGCTTATTTTCTATCTATATAAACTCTTCAGTGAAATGTCTCTTCATGTCTTTTGCTCCTTTTCTTTTGGAATTGTTTGCTTACTATTGAGTTTTGAGCATTCTTTATATATTCTAGATACTAGTCCTTTGTCAGATATGAGCTTTGCAAATATTTTCTCCCAGTCTGCATTGTCTGTTCATCCTCTTCACAGGATCTTTCACAGAGCAAACGTTTTTCATTTTAATGAGGCTTAGTTTGTCAATTTTTCCTCTTATGTATCATGCTTTTGGTATCAGGCCTAAGAACTCTTTGCTTAGCTCTACAACCCAAAGATTTGCTCCTATTTTTTTCTAAAAGTTTTATAGTTTTACATTTAACTCTATGATTTATTTTGAGTTATTGTTTGTGTACAATGTGGGTTTAGGTCAAGATTCATTTTTTTGCCTATAGATGTTCAGTTGCTCCAGAACCGTTTGTTGAAAAATATATCATTCTTCCCTTGGCTTGCTTTTGCACTTTTGTCAAAAATCAGTTGGGTGGGCCTATTTGCGTGAGTCTATTTCTGGGATCTCTGTTCTGTTCCATTGATCTGTGTGTCTACCCCTCTGCCATACCACCCAGTCTTGATTACTTTAGTTATATAATAAGTCTTGAAAGCAGGTAGACTAATCCCTCCCACTTTATTCTTTTACAAAATTCTTTTAGCTCTTCTATTTTCTTTGGATTTCCATGTAAGTTTTAGAATAATTGTGTCAATAATTACAAAAAAATCTTGATGGAAAGTGGATAGGAATTGTGTTAAACCTGTACATCAGTTTGGAAGAGAATTTGCATCTTTACTATGTTGAATCTTCTAATCTGTGAACACTTCCAATCTATCGAGTCCATTCATTTAGATCTTCTTTCATTTCTTTCATCAGCGTTGTGTAGTTTTCAGCGTACAAGTCCTCTACATGTTTTGTTTGATTTACTCCCAAGTATTTCTTTCTCTTGAGCCATTTTTTTAAAAAATGTGTTTTAGGTGAAAGTTTACAGCACAAATTAGTTTTTCATTCAAAAATTTTATACACAAATTATTTTGTGACATTAGTTGCAATCCCCACAATGTGTCAGCAACTCTCCCCTTTCTCTTTCCACCCTAGGTTCTCGGTTTCCATTCCTCCAGTTTTCCTGTCCCTTCCTGCCTTTTCATCTTTGCTTTGGGGCAGGTGTTACCCCTTTGGTCTCATATACTTGATTGAACTAAGAAGCATGTTCCTCACATGTGTTATTGTTTGTTTTATAGGCCTGTCTAATCTTTGGCTAAAAGATGGTCTTCGGGAGTGGCTTCAGTTCTGACTTAGCAGGTTGTCTAAGGGCCATAGTCTCAGGGGTTCCTCCAGTCTCTGTCAGACCAGTAAGTCTGGTCTTTTTTGTGTGTGGAATTGAATTTTGTTTTACATTTTTCTCCCACTCTGTCCAGGACCCTCTATTGTGATACCTGTCAGAGTGGTCAGTGGTGGTGGGCAGGCACCATCTAGTTCTTCTGAGCTCAGGGTGGTGGAGACTGTGGTTCATGTGGTCCATTAGTCCTTTGGAATAGTATTTTCCTTTTTTCTTTGGCTTTCTTCATTCTCCTTTGCTCCGAACATGATGGTACCAATAGATGTATCTCAGATGACCACTCGCAAGCTTTTAAGACCGCAGACACTGTTCACCAAAGTAGGATGTAGAACATTTTCTTTATGAACTATTTTATGCCAGTTGACCTAGATGTCTCTCATTAGGCCATTTTAAAATTCTGGTGTCTACATATTCTTTTTGGTTGAATGTTGTTGTTCTAGGCATTACATATTATATACATAACTTATCACAATCTACCGACGTCGTCATTTTACCAGTTCAAGTGAGGTGTAGAAATCTTACCTCTCTCACGCCCCTTTACAATCCCCTGTTTATAATCCAATTGTGTTAAATATTTCTTTTACATATATCTAAAACCACATCAGACAGTGTCATAATTGTTGCTTCAATAATCAAATATAATTTTGAAAACTCAAGAAAAATCTATTATATTTACCCATATTTTTGCTCTTTCCATTGTTCTGTCTTCCTTGCTGATGTCCAGGATTCCTTCTTTTATCGTTTCCCTTTTGTTTACAGAACTTCCATTAGCCATTCTCTTAGGAGAGGTCTGTTATTGGCAAATTCTCTTAGTTTTCTTTCATCTGAGAAAGTCTTTATTTCCCTTTAATACCTGAAACATATTTTCACTGGGTATAGGATCCTGAATTGACAGATTTTGAGTTTTCTTTTAGCACTTGAAAAATATTGTACCACTTCCTTCTGACCTCCATAGTTTCTGATCAGAAATCTACTGTCATTAGAATTGTTTTTTCCCTATAGGTAAGGTGTCTTTCTCTCTCTCTGCTTTCAAGACTTTATCTTCACTTTTCAGAAGTTTGATTATGATGGGTCTTGGTGTGGATTTCTTCAGGTTTATCCTGCTTGGGGTTCACTCAGCTTCTTAAAGTTGCAGGTTTATGTCTTTTTCCACATTTGGGAAGTTTTCAGCCGTCATTTCTTTCAACACTTTTTCAATCCCACCTTCTCTCTCTTCTCCTAGGATTCTGATGACATGAATGTTAGATCTTTTGTTTTAATCTCACATGTCTCTAAGGTTCTGTTCATTTTTTCCCCCCTCAATCTATTTTATCTGTTGTTCAGATTGGGTGATTTCTATTGTTGTATCTTTAACTTCACTAATTCTTTCCTCTGTCCCCTCTTTTCTCTTCTTGATTCCACATCCATTGAGTTTTTTGTTGTTGTTGTTGTTTTCAGTTATTGTATTTTTCATTTCTATAATTTCCATTTGGTTCTTCTTTATATCTTTTATGTCTTTGCTGAGACTTTCTCTATGTTTTATTTGTTGCAAGCATGTTTGTAATTGCTAGTTGTAGCATTTTTACAGTTACTGTTTTAAAATCCTTGTCAGGTAGTTTTAACATCTGTGTCATCTCAGTGTTGGCTTCTGTTGATTATCTTTTTCATTCAGTTTGATATCTTCCTGGTTCTTGGTATTGAGTATTGGTATTGAGTGATTTTTTTTTATTGAAACTTGAAAATTTTGGGTATTATGTTATAAAACTGGATCTTATTTAAATTTTCTTTTTAGCGGATCCTCTGACACCGCTCCAGCAGGGAAGGGGGGCACCACCTCATTTCTGCCAGGTGGGTATAGAACTTCAAGTTCTCCACTTAGCCTTCACTGACACCAGGGAGGGTGGGCTCCTTATAACTGCTGGGTGGAGGTAAGAGTTCCAGCTCCCCACTAAGCTTCTGCTGATACCACCCTGGTAGGGAGGAGTAGGAGTGCCTCATTACTGCTCCCCATGTGGCCTCCACTGACGTGGCTGGAGGAGGGGGTTGACTTCTTACTGCTCAGATATGGGGAAAGTCCTTGCTCTATACTAGGCACCTTCTGATACAACCCCAGTAGGGAGAGGGACGGGTGCCTCATTACTGTCAAGTGGGGTTGGAGTCTAGGCCCCCATTCAGTCTTGGCTGATGGAATGGGATGGGACTGCAATTTTTCTGTGATATTTGGCTGCAGTAGAATGGTTAGTGTCTAAAAGTTTTCTGTCTTGCTAAGCTGCCCCTTTCCTAGTCCTTTGGCTAGAGGGAGCAGACTTTTGTTGGGGCTTTTATTCTGTGCCCATTGTCATTTATGGGTTGCTGGCTTCTTCAGCTCCAAGTCCGGGATAGATGAAGCATAAAGAAAACCCAGAGAACTCACTACCACATTGTTCCTTGGGTCCTGAGGTCCCTAGCCAATCTGCAGTCTTCTATCCACTTTTTGGGAGTCTTCTTATGTTTATTTTATATATAATGCCAGGGATTTTAGTTGTATTCAGTGAGAAGACTAGGCAAAAATAATTCTCATCCATCTTTCCAGAAGCAGTAGTCTGGACATAGAGATGTTAGAGCCTGATTCTGTACTAACAAGGAAGTTTATGGAAAAGAGGGCTGTCCTAGTATATGAATGTCTTAGCAGAGCTCTTATTTTCTTCCAGATCATGTAAAACAAAAAGAAATGACACCTTTACCTGGGTTTGCATATGTCTGCTCATCCATCATAGAGGGCGTATACTAGGGTAGCTATGCTCAGTTAGTTTCCTATAAACTGGTAAGCTGAGGTTTCATAAGCCTCTTTCAACATGCATTGCTTTCTGCCCATACCTGTCAGACTGTGAACTGTTGGTCATCTAGCTTGGTTGAGTGCTAACAGGGTCAGAGTTGGGTGCTGCCCCTTCTATGGGCCATAAGGCTTACTCTAGTAGAGTGGAAGCAGTCCAAAGATATCATCTGATCCAACCATCATGGTTTTCAAATGAGGTAACTAAGGCTTAGAAAACAGAAAAGCCTCTCCCTGGATCTTCTGCATACCACACAAAAGCAAAGCCAGACCTAGAATTCACACGCCCTGCCTTAGGCTCAGTGTTCTTGTACTTACGTTAGGCTGCTTCTTCACCCACCCCTCAGCTCTCCAGTGAGCTTTGCCCTGCCCATGGCCGTGGACTGCCACCTCATCCCAACCCCTCATCACTGGGGGTGGAGGGGGGCACAATGAGGGTGGTGGGGTGGGGTGAGAGACAGGAGAAGGAATGTGGCTGACTCCACGCAAACCTGTCCTCAGAGTGAAAGTCTTTGATTCACGGGGTCAATGGTCTCATCTTCATATCTGAAAGACAGTGTACTTTTTGTCTCCCTAAGCCCTGTGTCTAGGTCGTTTGGGAAGCGCCTTGGAGAGTCAAGAATAAAATTGCAGGTCAAACAATGGATGACTGGAAAAGTCGGCTTGTAATCAAGAGCATGCTTCCCCATTACGCCATGGTGGGAAATCGTCAGGAGCCCAGAAAGCTCCAGGAATCGGTCAGACAATGGGCTATGGGGGGAGCGGGGGGTGTTGAATGCTTCTAATCTAAAACTTGAACATAAGATGTGTTATTGAAATTCTCTGTGCAAACATGGTGGCAGGGAACCAACCCAAAATATAACGAATGCAAGTCTGACCTAGAAAAAACCTAAGAGATGAGCTGACCCAGCCCCTTGTGATACCCGGGGAGAGCTGGAAATACAGTCCAAGGCTCCATCTGGATTCCCAGTCCAGTGATCTTTGTACCACACCCCTTCAACAAGACAAAGGAAAGATGAGAGGGAAGAAGAGCCTACCTTTCCTCTTAATAGAAACCAGGAGTGTCCGAATGGCAGGCCCTCAGTGTGTTGCATCAATGTCCTAGTATGACTGAGTATAGGAAGTCATGAACAGGGCACAGCAAGGGATTCCCATTTAACATTCTGTCCCCAGTGTCCTTTTAAAAACTCATTTGACACATTTCTACTTTCCTCCCTGGGAACCCAGACACCACCCAGCCGAGGTTCTGAAACTCAGAGTTAGGGATTCCAATGTTAGTTCTAAGGGGCCAGGATGATGATAGCAGGGACCATGAGAGCCATTGGTTGGTTGAATTTGACAATGAAAGCCTGCAACCTCACCAGTCTACCAAGACTTGATTAGCAAGAGTTGCAGCAAACACAATGGCTGTTATCTTGGTGTATTAGGCCCACAGAGGAGTGGCTTGCTAATCTCTGAAATTAATAAAGCAGAGAGGAAACAGCTCTTATAGAGCCTTGGGTCCGTTTCCTTCCTGTTCATAGAACTGGGAGCCCGGGGCTCTGAGGTAATGTCATTTCACACAATTAGATGGCCTGTCTTCTCCAATTCCAAGGGCAATTCACTTTCTGTAAGTCAGCTTTCTACTTGTTTTAGGATTCTGCTATGTGCACGGGTCTGGGGGGGAGATTATTGAAATCTTGCTTCTCTTTTATTCCCCCTCATTGTCAACTACCAACAATTGATTGAGAATGTGGCATCAAGTTGAGTATGCAGGGGTTTATAAACCTTTGCTTACATGAGTCCCAGCTCTCACAGAGGTGGCAATCAGATGGGGTGGCCTAGATGGAGTGATTACTTGGCCAAGAACCTTGTCCTCCAATTTGCCAGCCTTTCAGTCAGGCATCTTCTAGAAGGGAATCTCTAACCTCCATCCTAATTACTCCCTCCCCTTTTTTTTTTCCTAGCTTTTATTTTATGGTCAACAACTGAGTACGTGAAGGAAAACCTCTTGGTAATGCACCCAGAGTTATCAGTTTAGCTATGGCTTTGAATGTCTCCATTGTTTCACACCTGTTTCCATAGTCCTAGGAGCAAGCAACCAGTTGCCATCGAGTTGACTCTGATTCACGGCAACCCCACATGTGTCAGAGTAGAACTGTGCTCCATAGGGTTTTCAATGGCTGTGACCTTTTGGAAGTAGATTGTCAGGCCTTTCTTCCCAGGAGCCTGTCTTAGTTATCTAGTGCTTCTATAACAGAAATACCACGAGTGGATAGTTTTAACAAAGAGAAATTTATTCTCTCACAGTCCAGTAGGCTACAAGTCCAAATTTCAGGGCATCAGCTCCAAGAGAAGGCTTTCTCTCTCTGTCGGCTCTGGTGGAAGGTCCTTGTGATGCATCAATCTTCCCTTGATCTGGGAGCATCTCGGCACAGGAACCTCAGGTCCAAAGGTCGTGCTCTGCTCCTGGCACTGCTTTCTTGGTGATATGAGATTCCCATGTGTCTCTGCTACTTCTCTCCTTTATATCTCAAAGAGATTGGCTTAAGACACTATCCAATCTTGTAGACCTCATCGGTATAACTGCCACTAATCCATCTTATTACATCATACTCATAGAGTTTACAACACATAAGGAAATCACATCAGATAACAAAATGGTACACAATCATACAATACTGGGAATCATGACCCAGCCAAATTGATACACACATTTTTGGGGGGACATAATTCAATCCATGACAGGGCATCTGGGTAGATTCAAACAGTCAATCCTTTGGTTAATGGCCAAGCACATTAACCTAGGAGCAAAGGGAAGTGAATTGTGGTTGCAGGGATCCTCTCCCCCCTTCTTTTCACCCACCCTACCAACCCTCTTAAAAAGTTACTAGTAAGTAACTTCTTTGGTTTGGATCAGTATAGACCTCAAAGCATGCATTTCAGGGAGGGTTGTCCTTAAAAGTGGGTCCTTTGGGTGCCGTCTACGCCCTTACTGTGGAGAAATTACCATTGCTCACATAATTTCAGGCCTGGACTTCTCTTTGGAAAGGGCTGTTGGAGCCCTTCGTACATCTCACCAAAACTTCACATTCATTGCTTTAAGATCACATCTTAGATGTGATCAACATCAGCCCTTCTGGCTCCTCCGTGGCACACCTCATTCTCCCCCCTTGCCTCTGAGTGGCCTGACTATGTCTGAAACTGCAGGCTGTCCTAGAAGACCAGGGCTTGGCGCCAGTTGAGGGTATCCAGCAAACATGCCTCAGGCTCTGAAAGCAGCTCCCCCAGAGGAGTTCCCTTAGTGGTTTAAACCACATTTGTCTTCTTGGAAGACACATATGGTCTCGGAAGGAGGCAATGTAGAGGGAACCCAGTCCTTTGACTGGGCCTGACAGGTGTGCAAGGAGCCAGGCTGAGCCAGGTGCTGTTGCCCTGTTGGTGGGCAGCTAGGGCAGCTCTCAGCTAGAGCAAGACTGAATGTGAGTGCCAGGCCAATCCTTGTAGCCTTGGGAAGACACAGGGGCTAACAGTGGCCCCTGCTGCATACGCTGAGGATCTTAGCGGTCCAGGTGCTTGTGGACTGAGGGGCAGAGACTGGCAGATTTAAAGCAGAATAGCCTTTCAGCTCACCAAGAAACTTGCTGCCCCACACAAGGTATTGTGGGGTGGATGCAAGCAGCAGGAGGAAGGCCTTGGCAGGAGCCATGCTTGCACTGCCAGGGCGTGGCCTTCACTGGCTTTGAGGTGTAGCTTTTTCTCCTCGGAACATCTGAGGATGAGCACCTGCCCCCCAGTCCCAAGGAACCATGTGCACCTGGAAGCACAGTTCTTGCCCCACTCTCCCTCACCCTGAAAGCATCCCTAACATAGACATCTGCTGCAGGCATCCCGCTCAGCTTCTTCTCCCTTCCTTTCCCCCCTGAAACAAACTAGCAAAGAAACCATGTATTAAATCAAGGTCTTGAAATAAAGATCTATCAGGCCCAGAGGAGATTTCTTTTTAAGCAGCCCTGGGATTTCCATGGGATAATTGACAGTCTCTGGCAGGACAATGTGCTTCTGGTATGACAATTGTTCTTAGCCAAAGACCAGGACACCCGGCTTCTGGTCTTGCTTCTGCTCTCATCTAGCTAGGGGGGGGGCTTGTCCATCCTTTGCTCTCCCTGAGGACAACCCCAGTCCTACACGCATTCTTAGATTGTTACAAAGGGCAAATGGGCCAGGAGTGAGAATAGCCACCGTTAGTTGAGCGTTTACTAGGTGCCAGGCAGTTGGCTAAGCATTTGGGGGACATTATCCAGTAATCCTCACAATAACCCTAAGAGGAAAAGACTAGTATTATCTCCAGGAACCTGAGGCTTAGAGCAGTTAAGCAACTTGAACAAAGCCACGGAGCTAGGCAATGGCAGAGCTCAGAGCCTGCTGCCATCGCCGCTGTCCTCTGCGCCTCTTAGATCTAAAGTATGTTAAAAAAAACCACAAAGCACTGAACATGTATCAGGCGGGAGGAGTCGTTGTAAGAAATCTCAGCGATCATTTATTCATTCCTTCAGCGGCATGACTGTTTAGTGAATTTCGTGATCTGGGGAAAGGGGAGCTTTGCCCTTCGAGCATTGGGCACTTACCCATGGTCCAGAAGGTAGCCCGTCTTGGCAGATGGCAGATGGAGTTCTAACAGGAGGCAAGACCATCGGGCCTTCCTTTTGCGGTTGGCATCTCGACTCTTCCCCCCAGATTAGTGGGTCGATTGATTACTACTGTGAGAATCCCGAAGGAATTAGCACTCCAGATCCGGAGTGCTCTGGAGCCTGCGGGGGAGTGGTGACTCACTGTGCATGTCACGTGTCGTCTCTGTCTCAGTCTACACATCCCCTCCCCACACACACGGGTGACTCTGCCTCTCTGCCCCCATTGCAGGGATACAGTTGATTAGACATACTTGGAGATCACCGGGGAAATACAAGCGAGTTTTAGTTTTAGATAAAAGGAAGAAGAATCAAGAAGAGTCAACTTTGCTTTCTTCTAGAAGTTGCTAAGATTCTCCCAGCTCTGAGCAGCCACCTATGCCATGCGTAAGGCAGCTCCTAGACAAAATAGGAGTGCTATGGGCGTTAAATATACAGGTGGAGGAGGAAGGGGCCACTGTGCTCTTGGCCCATCTTCAGTGTTCAGCTTTTTAATGATAACAAACGACTTAATATGTCACAAGGAGTTGTCATGCCCAATATCCCATCTGAGCTTTCCAACCAGTCTGTGGCCAGAGGAAGTATTATTATCATTCTCTCTCTTTATTGATAAGGACAATAAGGTCCAAGAAATACAGTGACTTGCAGAAGGATGCCCACTGAGAAGGTGGTGTGCCACATCAGGGGTCTCCATTTGGGTAATCCCTAGCGCAGTGTGCTTTCTACCCATGGAATGACCAGAACCAACCCCACCCCTTCTTCTGCTTCTCTCTTCCAAATGCTGGAGGCAAGTGGGGCTAGGAAGGGGGAGAGAGGAGCCCTTACTGTAACAGGAGAGGTGGAGACTTGGATGGCTACAAAAATACTCATTCCCTCTGTCCCTCTTCCTTAGATTGAGGACCTTAGAAATACCCAGAAGGAGAAGGCCTGTTCACCTCCTGCTATGGTGGATGATCAGGTTCAAGATTAGTATCCATCATTCTTGGAGGCATACACTTTTCCTTGCAAAAAAAAGAGCACTAGACCCTGAGTAAAGAAACCTTGGATTTGATGCCAGGGCTCTTTGTGAG